CTCCGCAGGGATGGGCGTGGACTCGAGGAGCCGACCAGCAGCTCCCGCGGACGGCGAGCCACGGTCGAAGGTGCCCAGGGTGGCCAACCTCGTGGTGCCCGTGGACGTCAGCGAACCTGCCTACTTGGGACTCGACGGCGAGGACTGCGAGCGGCTGCGGCTGTTCGCGGCGTCCGCGCGTGATCGGGAGACTCCGACAGCATGGGCGCGCGACCTCGTGCCAGAGGCGGCGGCGAACGACAGCCGCTCGGGCGAAGTGTTGCCGAGGGAACTCGCGGTGCAGGGGCGCCAGCAGGAGCTCAACCAGATGGCCGCGTTCGGGGTGCACGAGGACGTGTCCGACGACATAAGCGTCGGCAGGCGCATGCGGAGCAAGTGGCTCGACGGACTCCGATGCAGGCCAGACGGGGCGCCCTCCGCGAGGTCGAGACTCGTTGCCGCGGACTTCAACCTGTTCGAGCGCGACGACGCGACGGCAGGTACGCCGTACCTTTTCTACTTGCGGCCGGTGGTGTCCCTGGCTGCCTCGAATCCCCCATCGGGGCAGGGGCAAGCGGCTCTGTGCGATGCCAGCGTGGCGTTCTTCCAAGCGGACATGGACGCGCGGTTGCGCGTGATGCCACCGCCTGGGCTGCGACGACCTGGGCGGACCTGGCAGCTCCACAAGGCGCTCTACGGCACGAGACCTGCGTTGAGGTTGTGACAGGCATACGTCGGCGACATCTTCGAGAAGAGTCAGCCACCATGGGCTCGGATCACGCCTTGCCTTGGTGCCTTCTACAACGAGACGTTGGACACCACGCTCGGCGTGCACGGTGGCGACTTCGTGGCCGAGGGGATCTCGGCGAAGCTCAACGTGCTCGACGCGTTGCTGGAGGAGCACATCGAGATCAAAAAGCTGGGTCGAGCGGGGCCGGGCGCCACCGGCGGTAACCACGGCAGACTGCTCAAGCGACGCATCGAGTGGCGGGAGGCTCCGTCTCCTCGCTTCGTGTCGGGAGCAGATGACTCGCACGTGGACAACCTACTCGAGCTCTTGGACCTGCCAGCCGACGCGACGAACCCTCAGACGAGCCCAGGCTCGAAGGCCACGGGAGGCTCCGTGCCCAAGGAGGCGGTCGTGGACGAGCGGCTCAAGAGGTGGGTGCGCAAGGCAGTCGGAGTGCTGACCTACCTGTCCCAGGATGTGCCGCAGGTGCAGCACGCAGCAAAGATGATCATTGCGGAGGCGTCGAAGCCTACGCCACTAGCTGCGGTGCGGCTCAAGCGTGCTGCACGGTGCCTGTTTGGGTGCCCAGTGACGGAGTGGCACTACCCGTTGCAGGACCTCCCTGTCACGGCGGACGTCGAGGGGGACAGCGTCTGGGCAGGAGCAGCTGACGCGAAGCCCACGCAGTCCACAGTGACAATGTTCGGCGACCATTGCCTGGAGTTGACTACGTCGACGCAGGGCTACGTAGCGACATCAAGCGGGGTGGCAGGGCTCCTTGCTCTCAACAGGGCGGGTGCCTCCGCTTCCTTCTTGCAGCAGATCCTCGCTCTGTGCGGGATCCACGCGCAGGGAGTTGCTGGTGCGGACAGCTCGGCAGCGAAGGGAATGGCCCACCGAGTGGGGTCAGGCCGAGTGCGACATCTCCGCGCCCAGGACTTGTGGGCACAGGGGCGAGTGCGGACGAAGGGCCTGGAGGTGATCAAGTTGGGCACGGCGGCGAACCGAGCTGACATTGGGACGAAGTACCTGGGCGGCTCGAGGATCGAGGTCCTGCTGAAGCTCATGGGGCTAGAAACAAGAGGGCGCACGGCTGGCCATGTGAGCGACTCCACGGCGGCTATGTTGAAGGTAATCTCGGCGACAGTGTACGTGCGTGGCGCAGCGGGGGCTACCGCAGCCACGGGGGAAGACCAGTACGACGGCAGCGCGATAGGCATCGTCATGCCGCCGTTCCTGTTCATGCTGGTGTACATGACTGGAGCCACGGTAGCGGTGCACTACCGCGCCAAGAGGCGCTCGAGGGAGCGCCAGCCCGACGCTGCGGGCTGCGAGGTGACGGAGGGGGCCGACGACGGGCTGGACGACGACGCTCAGGGCGGACGAGAGCGGAAAGCACCGCCTCCAGCCGCAGCGAGCGCGGACGCTCAGGACGGACGAGAGCGGGAAGCACCGCCTCCAGCCTCGGCGAGCGCGGTCAAGGGATCGGCAGCGGTACGAGGAGCTCCACGGCGTTCCACCCCCGTCAGAGCAAGCTAATGCGCTACAAGGAGGACGAGCTGAGGGCAGCGCCGTGGGCGCGTGGCCTCAGCACGACGGGCCTGAAGGCGAACCTTGCCAACAGGCTGGCGAGGACGGCGGCAGGGCCATCCACGGCACGAAGGGGCCCGAGGCCGACTATCGACGAACTCGTCGCGTCGGCGGCGACGGCAATGGCTGCGAGCGCCAGCACCTGAAGGTGCACCGCAGCCCCTGAGAGACCGCTCCCAGCGGGAGGCTCCGCGGGGGGCGCCGCGCCTCGCTCCGCAAAGTCGCGGCGAGGAGGCGTGCCAGAGCTATGAGTATAGTTTGGGGATGTGGTGAGGGCGCAGGGCCGCTGCCCTCTTGGTTCTAAAAGGACCGCGGCTCCGAGGGGGGTGCCGCGCAGAAGCGGGTGTTGTTTTTTTTTGGTTTGGCCTCATGAGGCCACTTCTATGCCGCAGGACCGTCAACACACATTCTCGGGCTGAAAAACCGATTTGGGGCTGGCTCCACAGCAGGATTCCGGGTTTCCCAGGTTCTCTTTCCAGAAGGAGGCTCGTGCCGATCCAGTGACGCTTATCTCCTGGATTGCAGTGTGCAGCCCTGCATGCCGTCCCGTTTCTCGCCCTGCCCCTTTGCCCCCCTCCCTTTTCTCTTTCCAGGACCCCTTCACGGATGGCCTTTTTCTGGTCCGCCACGTCAGACGCGGTTCGTATCGGGCAAGGGTGTTTGCAATGACCCGAGACGGACCCTCGGACAGCCTTGCCATAAGCGGGTCGACGCCGCACAACGTGCATTAACAAATCACGACGGAGGTTTTTTCATCATTGTCGGCTTCCTGGGGCCCTTACCAGGCCTCGTGACCGCCAACATGAACTCAGGATGAGACACCGGTCCGAGGAAGTGGATCGAGACCTCTTCGGCCCGTTGTCGGGACCTCACGGAAGAGATTAACACTCCGCAGCGTTTCGACTGATCCGCAGCGTTTCGACCGATCCGCACATCCAGCTGCGCTGCCGCGCAATGACCGCGCCGCTTCCGGGGATGCCAGCTGAGGGGGGGCCGTGCCCGTCGTCGCCGCACGGGTGTGCAGCGCTGCGCGGCTGGGCAGCCTGCGCCGCAGAAGGTCAACATCAGGATTGTTCGGACCTGCAAAACAGAGCCTCTCCTCGGACTTGGCTCGCGGGCGGGTGGCCCTACAAGTGTAGCCTCGCAGGCCGCAGTTGCATCATCATCATTATCGTCATCATCATCACCACCATCATCATCATCGTCATCATCATCATCGGCAACATCATCGTCAGCATCACCGCCATCACCACCATGATCATCGTCATCACCACCACCACTACCGTCATCAGTATCAGTAGCACCATCATCAGCATCGTCAGCATAACCATCACAGTCATCATCATCATCATCATCATCATCATCATCATCATCATTATCATCATCATCATCATCATCATCATCAACATCATTAGCATCATCATCAGTGTCATCATCATCATCTTCATTCTAATGACCACCATCATCATCGTCATATTCCCCAGCACCATAACCATCATCACCACCGCCACCAGCATCATCATCACCATCATCATCACCGTCACCGCCATCACCACCATCACCACCACATCAAACAATCCAGTCGGCATAGAGGCTGCAGGGTAATCCGCAGCATCCGCCGCAACTTGTTTTTGCCTGTTCTTCTTTCCTCCGCTCCCCCCTGGGAGGAAGGAAAGAGCCACACTTTGTCGGTGCCTTTGTCTGTCCCTCTTGCCTCTCCTCTGTCCTCCGTCCTCCCTCCTCCTCCTCCTCCTGGGCATCTGTGTGCGAAGATCAGAATGTGTTGTCATTCGAGGTTTCACCTTGTCGCGCCAGTTTTGGACACGTTCCCGGGCAATCATTGTCACCGGTAGCGCTTGCTTGTCCCGGCCGCGTGGCCGATGCAGTCTCGCGGTGTCTCTTGCGTTCTGACATTACAGGGGAGATTTAGCACCAGTAATTTGCCCAGTATTTAGGAAGAAGAATCCGCTCAGTGCTTTCGCGGCGTTACGACGGCGGGTGTTGAAGCATGCGGTCCGTTCCCATCCTCGCCCTCCCTAAATTAACCATCACCACCACCAGCATCATCATCATCATCATCATCATCATCATCATCATCATCATCAGCACCACCAGTACCAACGCAATCACCATCACCGTCATCATCGTCATCATCATCACCACCGCCGCCATCATCACCATGACCATCACCACCAGCATCACCACCAGCATCATCACCACCACCACCACCATCATCATCAGCATCGTCGTCGTCATCGCCATCATCGTCCTAATCATCATCTTCATCTAGCTCATGAGGTCTAGCGCACATACAGTACGTAAACATGTAGAACCTATATGTTGTGTTGAGAACTCTTGGGGCACTTGTTTTGTTTGCCTTTGAGGGTGTGAAGGTGCCCTAAAGCTTCTGCGGTCCGCCAGCGGGGATGAGAAATGTCAGCGGGGCACCTGCTGGCAGGCCGATTTCTTGTTGGACGTGCCTCCCAGGCGTCCGATGGATTGTTTTTTTCTAAGCCGCGGCCCCCGGAGGTCTCGACCACTTCCTGGGGCCCGACAATGGCCCCAGGAGACCGAATGCAGGGACAAACGCCGGGATTGAAGAAAATAATCCGCCCGAAGTCTGCGCAGGCTCTTGGGCGGGTCTTTTCGGCCACCATGGCGAGCGACGGCGGAGGCGACGACGGCCCCTGGGCCTACCCAGGCGGTCCCGACCGAGCCGGGTTGTCGAGGCCCTCCCGCTCGCGCTCCCGGTCGCGCAGCAAGGACGGCGGGGCTGGGGCGCGCGCGCGCGCGTCGCTCCCGCTGGTGCCGCCGCTGCGCCTCGGCCTTCGAAGCTCGCACCACGCAGCTTGCACCACGAAGCTCATACCGCATAGCTCGCACCACGCAGCTTTCACCGCGCACAGTCGGACCGAGGTATCGAGGTCGGTTCGGGGAGGGTAGCACAGTGTTCTTCGTGGTTGCTGGATGTTCTTGTGCATCCTGGGGAAGGTACTCTTGGATGTTCTGTTGGCTTTGGCGGAGGGTGGGGCCTCATGTTCTTAAGAGATATTCTTCTGGCCTAGGTCCGATTGTGTACCGCATAGCTTGCACCACGTAGCTTGCACCATGTAGCTTGCACCACATAGCTTGTACCACATATAGCTCGGACCGCACCGTCCCGTCATGGTGACGTCCACCCAGCCGGCGGCTTCGACGCCTACCCGGCCGACCCAAACACCAGCCCGAGGGGGACCAGCACGATGGACACCAATAGCATCACTACCACCAGCATGCATGCGCGTGCAACGTTGCTCGAGTCCTGTACTAATGAGGACAAGGAGGGGCGGACAAATCTGCCCCCCTCCCCCCCTTGGCATCTACAACTGCATTGGTCTCAAACGTTGCTGCTACAGTGCCTTCCGCAAGATGCTGCCTGCGTTGAGGCACACAACCATTCTGGCCGCCGCTGCCACCACCAGCACCATTCCCACAACCACCACTACTTCCATATCTTTCAACACCATCCGGACAGATACCAGCATCGACACTCCGACTCCATCTCAGGCATCCCTTCCGACCGGCGCTGCAACGGCAGCCACAGGCGGAAACCCTCACATTTTTCTATCAAGATCTGACGTAGCGGCCCTGGTTCCCAATCGCATAGGCCACGCAGGCGTTGAGCTGTCTGAGCAGCCGGCGCTCTACGCTCTCTTTGGTCGTCTCTTGCTCCTCCTCCTCCTCCATCTTGGCTGCCACCCCAAGGGTGCATTCACTCTGCCACGTCCCGCCCCCAGTACGTTGTAGGATTCGAGCCAGGCTGTCTTGAGACCCAGGGTACTATCTGAGCGCACTGGTTTTGAATGCAATTTCTTGTGTCTCTCCTCTCCCCCTTCTGCCCCTCCTCCTGCCTCCTGCTTTGCTCACGGCGCCGATACGATGACAGGGAATCCGTGCCGCTGCCAGTGCCCACGCATCCGCCTCTGGAATGGTTCAGCCTCTGACTTGCGTCGGGGCAACTGTTCATTTTCCTGGGCATGACTTTGAACGCGTTTTAATTGGTGGCGTGTCTCCTCCCTCTCTCCTCCTCGTTGTTTCGTAGTGGACGTGTCGAGTTGGCGTGGTGTTTCGCGAGGCCTTCTACATCGCCCACAGCTCATGGAGGAAGTTGCGTTACTGCTCATTGTCTTGTCCACCTGTGTGCGGCTTGACTCGGTAGCAGTAGCCTGCACTGGGTAAATAAGATCCCTTTGTTCGTCTCCTCTTCCTTCCTCCTCCCCTGGGGGAGCCTCCCCTCGAGTCCTCAGGGTCGTGCGAGTTTATCTTGCGACTCGAGGCGCTGGGGCACGAGATCTGGGTTCCGCGTCTTGGCCGCATGCGCAGGACAGCCTTGCTACGTTGCCGTGATTGCGCCCGCTTTCGCTTACCTGCGCTTGCCAAGGTCTCGCGTGCTTTCTCGCCAATTGCAGGTTAGCCCTGAGGTGATTCCGGATTTGTCTAGTGCATGTGGTTGGGCTTTCTTGGTGTTGCCCTTGGCGGGAACAAGTTTTTGCATTGTGGATGTGTAAGCTACGTGTTGGGCACCATTGGTGTTGTCGTGCTGTCATTGGCGGAAAATAGTTGTTGCACTGTGGACGTGTACGCTACGTGTTGGTGCAACACACGTGGTGTAAGCTACGTGGTGTAACCTGGGTGGTGCAAGCTAAGTGGTACACTAGGTGGTGTAAGTTGAGGAAGCGTGGCTGCACACAAACGGTTGGAGCTCCGCGCGGGGTTCTTGGATCGGCGTTGGGCCCCCTGGCGGCGCCTGTCGGCGCCGCCAATTGGCCGCGCGGAGCCCAACAAATTTATGTTTTTGTCGCTCATTTCATGATTATTTTTTCCTAGTCATCATCTGTTCCTGGGACGTTGGGTGCACTGGATGCGACCAGCCCTGGCCAGAGCTGGGTCCTACAGGTGAGGGCCCTCGGCGGAAGCTGGCGAAATGCACGTACAAGCCAGCGGAAGGAGAGCGAGGGCAGAGGCTCGACGGAATCCAGCGTCAACTCCGCGATCACTGGGGTTTCTGGCGTCGGCCACATCTGGCCACATGCTCGGCCCTTGCGGGCCCATATGCGATGCCCATCCGCACATGTACGCAACAATGGACTTCCGCATGCTCCGCGCGTCCATGCAGCTCCGTGTGCGCTCAGATTGAAAAACTGCGCGTTCCATTCTGGCAGGTAGAACAGCCTCGTAGAGCACTTGACGCGCTCAATCGAGCCCGAAATGTTTCCCCTGGACGAGCCCGCGAACGCGCGGCACAAGGATTACAACATTGAGGTGTTGCGCTTCGCCCTCAGGGTGTCCACGGAGACCCAGACCCCGAACGTGATCTACGAGGGCTTGGAGACTCCGACTTCGTTCGGCACGGCGATAAGTTAGCACTGCGCAGGCCTCGGGTCGACCCTGCAAGGGAAGACGCCCGCTGAGATCCTAAAGGGGTATTGCGACGACGAGATGGCGGCGGACAACAGCTGGATGATCATGTGCGTCCTGGACACGAAGGCCGAGAAGTCCGTCGTGGAGGTGGAGCCCGGGGAGCTGTCAGTGGAGAATCCCTTTGACTGGGCGACCGACTTCCTCTGACCGCACTCGCAGGATCCAGTCTGTCCACGAGGAGTTCTCTGCCATGAACTGGGCAATGCCCAGTGCGATCTCGGTCCAGGGGAAGGGCGACCTCTTCAAGAGGCTCAAAGAGGTGGCGACCCAAAAGGACGAGGGGATTTCCGCGGCGAGCAGCGCGAGCGGCGCCAAGCGGCCCTCGCCTTCGCCCCCCTTCAGGCGCCGGCGTGACGGAGGCGCTGCGCCAGCGCCTTCACTCCAAGGGCGCTGGCGCCAACGGCAAGTGAATGGCGAGGCTCCGTGGGCACCAGCGGCGACTAGCCTGAGGTCCTAAAGTAGATTTTTCTAAGGTGCGCGACAGCACGCGCATTGTGACCAAACGCACGGACTGCGGCAAGAAGCCTGCATTGTTTGCAGCGGCCACAGCCTGATTGCACTGCGTGCGCGCCGTCGCGCCGCTGTGGCAATTGATCGCCTTTTGCCGGGGCAGCGAGAAAAATCGTCGCGGCAGGGCGCCTCCTTCCCCTCTTCCTCCTCCTTCTCCCCCTCATGATCCTCTTCCTTTTCTTGCCCTCCCCATTCCTCTCCTCGTATTCTTCTCCCCCGCAGCGTTCGCGGTTCAAAAACGCCAGCAACTGCACGGGCCCCCCCGCTGTCAACGTCACCAGCATCAGCCAGAGGGCCAGAATTCATCCCGCTGCCGCCGCGGCGACAATCGCAAGATTACCGCCAGCGCCGCAAGCGGCACTGGCAGGATCGCCGACGGCGCCGCCACCACCGCGAACAGCCCCACCTGCGCCAGCAGCGGCGTCAGAAGGGCCAGCGCCATCAGCGACGCCACCATCAGCACCAGCAGCGCCGCCGCGACCACCAGCGCCAACGGCGCCGCTGGCGGCAGCGACGCCGCCAGCAGCAGCGCGCGCCTCGCCAGCAGCAGGAAACGGGGAGCGAACCAGAGAAGGACGAAGAGAAACCTTGGCAACATCCTTGGCAGAACCATCAAAATTCGCATGCGCTTTCTGAGCCGTGGCGGACTTTCTGATGCCATCCGCGCGTGCATATGTTCTTGCGGGTTGGTCTGCTTTTTCTGGTGGCCACTCGCTTCCCTATACACTACTGGTTCACGCCAGAGAGATACAACGAAAGTAAACGGGAGGAGGGGGAGGCGGCGTCGGAGGGGGCAGGGGCTGCGCGGCGGGCGGAAGACGCGGGGGGCCAGCGCAGGCGCGCACGGGGCACAGGAGAAGGGGAAGTGGCCGCTTCGGCGCCATAGAAAATACGCGGCGGCCGACGGGCACACACATTAGACGAGAAAGAGAATGGGTAGCAAAAGAACAATTCAAAGGCTGCGCCCTGCAGACAAAGAGGCCCCACTCAAGCGGCCTGATCCCGCTTCGGGGCGCCCCCATGTCAACGTTGTAGCGGGCCGCGGGTCGAGGCGACCGAACCGCTCCGAATGCTGAGCGGAAAGGCTTTCCAAAAATCGTGGAACGCCCTCCCGAACGCGCTTCTGTGCACTCTTTCGACGGCCCACCGTCGGGATGGCCCAGTTCGCCCCGTCTAAGGCGCCGCCGCCAACCCGCCCGGTTCTGCCGGGGGGCCCGGCGCCCCCTGCAACTGCGACTTTCATGGCCCCGCTGGGTCCAGGAAGGGCGCGCGCCTGCCGTCCGACTCTGGTTCGGCGGCGCCTCGGCCAGGGCGCGCGGCGGCGCCGGGGTTGCTGGCGCAGTGAGGGGGCCCCCTTCGCCGCGGAAGGATAGTTGGGGGCACCGCCCCGGACGTCGCAGGCGTTCCTCGTCGCCGCGGCTGGAAATCGGCATTCCAACGCGCCGTCTCCGTCTCGCGCAGTTGGATCGCGCGCCGCTGCCCAGACGGGGCGGCGCCTGGCGCCCCGCCTTCCTTGCGCCCTGCCGAGGCGGCGATGGCCAGGCCGCAGGGCAGCGCCGACGGGCTTCGCGACTGGCGCCCCCCTTCTTCCACGGTCACCTCGCCCCGCCGCCCCGCCCACACGGCGACGAACGCTGGCAGCTCGAGCGCCGGGGATCATCGCGGCACCCCACGGGGCGCGGGGCGCGCCGCCCTTGTCCCAGGCGTCTCCCGCCACGACCCCCTCAAGGCCAATGGGGCCCTGGCCGCCAGGACCAAGGGCATTCAGCGAGCAGGCGGCGGACCCTGCGCGGCCTGGGCCAGGCATTGCTCTCAACGCGGTGGAGGCAACAGGGGCCCCAGCCGACGCGACGCCGCCTTCCTCCGCAGCTTTCTCCGCCCCCTGGCCTCGTTGCCTCCCTGATTCTTGCGGCTGCAGCGAGGGGGCGCAGCAGGCCCTCCGTGCACCGAGGCACTTCTGCTACGGATTGCGCCTTTGGCCGCAGGGAGTGCTCCGACCCTTCGTTGCGCCTACTTGTCGGAGCCCCACTCCTTTTGCTTGGTTTTCAGGCCTCGCATCCATCCGCCGGCCACTGGAGCGGTGGGCGATGCCGCTCTCCTGCGGCGCCTTGCCCCGCCATCGCGGCTTGTCCCTAGTGGGCCCTCTGGTCTCGGCGCGCGCCCCGCCCCGGTGGCTTCCCTGGTCCACGTCGCTCCCCCGGTCGTCGTGGGCCTATCCTTCCGTTTCGCCCGCCGTCCTGGCGCCCTCAGCTCCATGCCGCTCTCCCGGAGTGGCTTCGCTTCTGGGTCGCCATTCCCCGTCGCTCGCTGGGCCGCGGCGGCGCCCTTTCGAGCGCCTTCATGCCTGCCCGCTTCTGCCCGTCGCCGCCCGCCGCGCCTCGTAGACCCCCAGGTCCCCAGAGCTCGGCGCTGTGTGCTATGGCTCTTCCCTGGGGCCGGGCCAACCAGTTCATTGGGTCGAGTCTTTGATTCGCTTGTGATGCTCCCTCATGGCCGCCCAGTCTGCTGGGCTGCTTTCCCCCCTTAGCTTCAGCTCAGGGCCGCTCAGTGCAGCTCAGTGCCGGCGCTGATTCCTCCCCTCGGCGCTTCCCCCACTGCAGCCGGCGACTTCGTCTGAGTGGGCCCAGTTTCTTCTCCCCCTGTCGTGCTCTGCCCAGCCGCCGACGCAAAACATATGTGTGTGCGTGCGTGCGTGCGTTCGTGCATGCGTGCGTGCGTGCGTGCGTGCGTGCGTGCGTGCGTGCGTGCGTGCGTGCGTGCGTGCGTGCGTGCGTGTGTGCGTGGGTGTGGGTGTGTGTGTGTGTGTGTGCGTGCGTGCGTGCGTGCGTGCGTGCGTGCGTGCGTGCGTGCGTGCGTGCGTGCGTGCGTGCGTGCGTGCGTGTGTGTGTGTGTGTGTGCGCGGGCATGTGTCTGCTAGTTCCGTAGGAAGGGCCGCGTGGAATCTGGGGGGAAATCACAAGGGGTTTAACAAGTGCCACTAGCGCCCGAAGGTTCGGGTCCTCGAGCCTCCTCGTCGAATTCTCCCTCCCTCTTGGTTTTCCCGCTCCCTCCTTCGGTGCTCCCTGCCTCGACCAGTCTTTCCCCGCTCCTCAATCACCCTTCCCCCTCCCTCGCCCGTGTCTCTCCTCCCTGGCCTCCCTGCCATCCTCCCTCCCCACTGTCTCTCCTCCTACCCTTCGGCCTCCAGGACCGGTCGGACGCCCAGCAGGGCGCGCCGGGCGACGTGCGTGGGTGCGTGTAGGGCGCCAGCGGCGCCGCCCGCAGCTTGCATGCTTGTCGAGCCAGTGGCGTGCAGAAGGGGGCAGGGCGAGAGGGTCGTTGGATCTTGTGTCGATGATCCTCTTGATGTATGTGTGTGTGTGTTTGTGTTTGTGTTTGTGTTTGTGTTTGTGTTTGTGTTTGTGTTTGTGTGTGTGTGTGTTTGTGTTTGTGTTTGTGTTTGTGTTTGTGTGTGTGTGTGTTTGTGTTTGTGTTTGTGTTTGTGTGTGTGCGTGTGTGTGTATGTGTGTGTGGGGGGGGGAGGGGGCCGATGTCTGTTTCTCCCGCTCAGCTCGCAGCCTGCGTCGGCCCTCATGTCGCCGCCTGCGTCGTATTGAAGTGCTTGAGTCGGAAAAGCACAAGTTGAGGATCATCGATCGTAGCGTTCCTGTAGGAATTCTTGGGCGAGGTTCGGACATCCGGGCAAGACGGTCCCCAGCGGGAGGGGCCAAGGGGCAGACTGCGGGGGGGCGGGGCGAGGACGGGACGACCGTGGAGAAGGCGCCCTTGCCTCTCCGGGACAGGGAGGGCCGGGTGTCGGCGGCGAGCGAGAGGGGGAAGTGAGAAGGAGAGGGCCTTCTCAGAAGGCGGTGGGGTTTCCCAGAAGCCCACCGGCTTTCTGAAAGGTGTCTGTGTTGGGCAGCAAACGGGGGGTGGCAGGGGGGACGGCGATAAATGGGGGGGCGTAGAGGGTTGCGGTAAACGGGCCCTTCGGGGCCCCGAAGGAGCCCGTTAGGACCCCAAAAGGGGTCTGCAGGGCCCGAAAAGCGCACCTTTCGCTGCCCCCCATTAGTCGCCTGCCTTTCAGTTCACGCCCATCTGCGCCGTCGGGGAACAATCAGAAAATTGGTCAGAGGGCCAGAAGACTTTCGAGCCTTCTGAGAAGGCCCGCGCCCTCCCACTTCCCCCCAGGGCTGGCCTGCGAGTGTTGCCAGGATTGTGTCTTGTGCCTTGTGTCTTGCGCGTCGGTAGTTTTGCCTCTGGGGCAAGGAGGGCCGTAGCGGGTTATCGGGTTGTGCTTTGTGTGTTGTGCGTTTATGTTTGTGTGTGTGTCATCGTTGGCCGTGCCGCATGATGGTCCTGAAGTGGGCCAGGAAACTTCAGAATATTCAGGAGCTTTCTGTAGTGAAGTGCCCAACCGAGCAGACCAACGATGGCCTTCGAGGAGGCTTCCTACGAAGGCCTCGTCACCCCCAGGGGCGCGACAATAGTCGAGCTTTGCGCGTCGCGGTCGAGGCTGGACAGCTGCCCTTGTCCAGGGTGGGGCAGGGGGCAGCGCCCTGGCGGGAAGGTAACTGCGCACCGCGGGGCACGATGCGCGAAGTTAGGTCCGCTAGGTAACCTACAGCCAAGGTGCTGAAGGAAAACCGCTTTGGGCTCATGAGGGGCCCGGTATTCCAGGCCGTTCATTAGATCAGTGTCAGGGGGCCCGTCCGTGCTTGAGGCCCGCCGTGGCCAGACAAGCCCCTCGTTCCTTTGTTTGGGGTCCTGATGTTGAAACGCTGACCGTGACTTTACATCGGGCCTGTCCCTCTACAGGAGGACATTCAGAAAGAGTGAACAACTTTTGAAGGTGTTTGAGTGCTTTTCCCCAACCAACCTGTATTGTTGGGCCCTCGTTTTGAAGAGACGGTCCCCGCGTCTCCTCCTCTTCCTCCTCCTCCCTCCTCCCCTCCTCTCATCATCATCATCATCATCATCATCATCATCATCATCAGCAGCAGCAGCAGCAGCAGCAGCAGCAGCAGCAGCATCGTCATCATCATCACCATCATCATCATCATCATCGTCACCATCGTCGCCATCATCATCATCAACATCAGCACCATCACCCCCCAGTACAGCGTTTAGTGGCCCCACGGGGAACGCCACCGAAGGTCCCCGTGGCGCAGTCCGCATGCGTCTCCCCCACCCAGTACAGCGTTTCGTGGCCCCACGGGGAGCGCCACCGAAGGTCCCCGTGGCGCAGTCCGCATGCGTCTCCCCCACACAGTACAGCGTTCCGTGGCCCCATAAGGGCTCCACCGAAGGTCCCCGTGGCGCAGTCTGCATGCGTCTCCCCACCAGTACAGCGTTTCGTGGCCCCACGGGGAGCGCCGCCGAAGGCCCCCGTGGCGCAGTCCGCATGCGTCTCCCCCACCCAGTACAGCGCTTCGTTTCCCTCACCCAGTACAGCGTTTCGTGGCGCCATAGGCAGCTCCACCGAAGGTCGCCGTGGCGCAGTCTGCATGCGTCTCCCCCACCCAGTACAGCGTTTCGTGGCCCCATACGGAGCTCCACCGAAGGCCCCCGTGGCGCAGTCCGCATGCGTCCCCCCCACCCAGTACAGCGCTTCGTGGCCCCATTGGGAGCTCCACTGAAGGCCCCCGTGGCGCAGTCCGCATGCGTCTCCCCCACCCAGTATTGCGTTTCGTGGCCCCACAGCGAGCGCCACCGAAGGCCCCCGTGGCGCAATCCGCATGCGTCTCCCCCTTCCAGTGCAGCGTTTCGTGGCCACATAGGGGCTCCACGGAGGGCCCCCGTGGCGCAGTCCGCATGCGTCTCCCCCGCCCAGTACAGCGCTTCGTGGCCCCACGGGGAGCGCCACCGAAGGTCTCCGTGGCGCAGTCCGCATGCGTCTCCCTCACCCAGTACAGCGCTTCGTGGCCCCATAGGGGGCTCCACCGAAGGTCCCCGTTGCGCAGTCCGCATGCGCCTCCCCCACCCAGTACAGCGCGTCGTGGCCCCATAGGGAGCGCCACCGAAGGTCCCCGTGGCGCAGTCCGCATGCGTCTCCCCTACCCAGTACACCTCCGTCGGAGGGCCCTCGCTCGCCCGTCGTCGCTCTGCCCAGCGGCAAGATCCTAGCCCGCTATCAGCCAGCCAGCTAGCTCTCTTTGCTCTGCGCAGCGGACGACCCGCGCGCGGCGCTGGGACCCCTCCGGGGCGACCTGCGCGCGTCGCGGGGACTCCGCGTTGCGCTGCGCCCGCAGCCTTGGACTTTTGAGTGCGCGGGCAAAGAGGGAATAAAAGAAGGGGAGGAAGCGGGCGCGATCCTCGCGGGGGGGCGCGCCGACATTGGCGTCGCGGCGCGCGGGCGATGCCGTCGGGGAGTCCCGGGGAAGCTCCTTGCCACGCCCAGCGTCACGAGTACTCAGAGCCAGTCATTTTCAAACTATTAACATTCATATACAATGACACCGTGCTTTGTCATACTCGCATTCATGCACGTGGACTCGCTCGCACGCAGATTCATTCACAGTCAGACGCACTCGCGCTCATATTCACCCGCGCTCACTCCCCCTACGTACTCAGATCAATCGTTTTCGTTCGGGTTGTTTACCACGCCAATCATGTCGGCACACCCCTGGCACGTTTCGTTGCCTCGTAGGGATCACCACCGAAAAAGTGAATCACAAGTGCGGTACCCGCACGTGCATATGGCTGGGTCCTTCGTCAGGCTATGTTTTCCATTTTTCGTCCAGAATCCGCCTGTAGGAGGACACGCCCGACCTAACCGTAACTGCGAGTCGGGCATCGCGGGGCGCGATGCCCGAAGTTGGGTGACCTCGGACGAGGGGCCGACCCCAGCCCCGAAGCGGTCGGACGAAAGGGGGGATCCACCCCGAAAGTGTCTGTGTGCATGACGACACCCAGTGTGTCTACAGGCGCCTGTGGCTAGAGAGTGAGAAGTGCATGTGGCATAGGCCCCAGACATCTGCCTTCTGTCTTCTGGAAGCAGGTTGGCTTTGCCATCCGCGGTGCGACATCTGCTGCATTCGCCTGGTCTTGGCCCCGCCGCCGGGCGCCCTCCTCGATGTATTGACCCTCTCGGCGCCCCCATCTGCGACCCCCTGTCGTCCGACCCAGCCCCCCCCCGCGCTTTTGAAGAAGGCCACCGCCCGATCGCCCTGCCCTTTTCCACACAGTGGGGACGCGCATCAAGAAACCATGTGTTTTTCGTCAGGGTACCCTGGGACGCTCGGCTCCGCGCTCTGCGCGGTGACTTCCCGCGGCCGTCACATGAGCTGCTGTGTTCAGGGTGTTCAGGGTCCCCCCCCTGGGCGCGTCTCCCACGCGGGTTTTTAGAACTGCGTTTCTTGCGAGGGTTTCTTGTGGCCGCGCCCGCACTGTACGCGCCGCCAATGTCGAGGCCCCCGTGGAACCACGGCAGGCCTGACCCCGCCGTTCCGCCGGCCGGGCTGGGCGCTGGCAGCCTCGGGAGCTCGGGGGGGGGGGGGGGGGCAGGACAGCCCGCGGCCGAGAGCAGCCAGAACGCAGGCTCTCTCGGCACCTCGGCCGCGTCTCGGCGGCCGTCGGGCGGATCGCCGTCTGGCCACGAGGGACAAGAAACGGCATAGACTCTCAGAGTTCCGCGCGGATTTCTTGGATCGGCGCTGGACCCCCTGGAGGCGCCTCTGGCGCCGCCCCTGGCGCGCGGAGCGCGCCAGGGAGGGGGCTCCAAAGCAGATCCAAAAAATCCGCGCGGCGATGGTCGCCCCTCTCTAGCGCCCTGCCTGCCCAGGCCTTTCGTCGCTGGCACTCTTCAGCTTCAGGTTCTCTGGGCCTCCCAGATGGGGTTCGAGCAGATGGGGTCGGAGGATCGCGCCGCGTCGCCGATGCATCGGCGATGCGGCTCGATGTGGAGCCCGATTTTCTTCACGCTGGTGTCGCCGATGCACCGCCGACGTAGGCGACGCATCGCCGATGCATCGGCGATTCATCGGCGATGCGGCGAGATCTTCCGACCCCATCTACTCCTTTCGCCAGGCTAATTTGCCGTTCCCATGTTCAAGAGACTTTTTCGGAAACGGTGAATCAACGGCCCTGCCGTTTCCGGGGCCCACTGAGATCCAGGGGCATCTGGAGATCCCTGGAGGTTTCCGGAGGACAGGCCACAAACGCAAACAAAAAGCAAGCGAGACTTCAGCAGCAGCAGCAGCAACAATCACCCCTAAATCAAAGCGCTCAATGATTCGACATTCAACATGAACTTCATCATGCTAGCCCCCCCTTAATAGGGAATCATGTCATGCATCGGGGGCTCGGTATTCCCTTACCCTCCCGCCCGAAACCGTTTTTCCAACATATCTTACCGGGCACTTCACCATCCTCAGTCCAAGATTAGTTTGGCCTCCTTTTGGCGATCTTGGTGCTCTCTTGGGCCGTCTTGGGGCTCGATTGGGCAGTCCGCGGGCCTCTGGGGGCGCCCGCGCTTCTTCGGGACCCTTGTGGCGCCTCTGCAGTGGCCTCTCGGAACCCTTCTGGGGCCGCCCGAAAAGTCTCCAGATGCGATGCCGAAACGAGGGCTCCACCATTGAGTCAAAAGTACTCGTTGGTCATTGCAAGTAGGTATTTCTGGACTCCCAGATCCCAATATATTTCTAGTGCCTTCCTATTTCAAGAACCGATATGCGTTTGCTGTGCTATGTTTTCCCTTGAGGACCTGAACCCGACGTACTTTATCCGCCTTCCTATTTCATTCCCAACCATCTTGTGGTGTTGGGTCCCCGTTTTGAAGAGAGCGCCCCGCGTTCCTCTCCTCTCCTCTCCTCCTCCTCCTCCTCCTCCTCCTCCTCCTCCTCCTCCTCCTCCTCCTCCTCCTCCTCCTCCTCCTCCTCCTCCTCCTCCTCCTCCTCCTCCTCCTCCTCCTCCCTCCTCCTCCTCCTCCTCCTCCTCCTCCTCTATAGGGAGCTCCACCGAAGGCCCCAGTGGGGGTGTTCGCATGCGTCTCCCCCGCCCAGGACAGCGCTTCGTGGCCCCATAGGGACTTCCACCGAAAGCCCCAGTGGGGGTGTTCGCATGTGTCTCCCCCGCCCAGGACAGCGTTTCGTGGCCCCATAAAGAGCTCCACCGAAGGCCCCAGTGGGGGTGTTCGCATGCGTCTCCCCCGCCCAGGACAGCGCTTCGTGGCCCCATAGGGACTTCCACCGAAAGCCCCAGTGGGGGTGTTCGCATGTGTCTCCCCCGCCCAGGACAGCGCTCCGTGGCCCCATGGGGAGCTCCACCGAAGGCCCCAGTGGTTGCATTCGCATGCGTCTCCCCGCCCAGGACAGCATTTCGCAGCCCCATAAGGGGGGCCCACCGAATGCGTTGCTCACAAAGGCGGTACTCACAACTGCATATGGTTGGGTCTTTCGCCAGGCTAATGTTTGTTTTGCCCACCTCTTCGGACCGACGTGTAAGGAAGTATCGGGCAGCAAAGTCCTTCTTGCAGCGGGGGCAGCTTGTGACAACAAGGCGCGAGGGCAATTCTTGAGTCAACAGCGAAGGAGTATTGAGCGGAAGCGCTGGCCCGAGGCGAACAAGGTCGCCAGTTCTGCGAAACTTATCCTGGCGAACGGCCCAACCATACGTAATTGCGAGAAGTGTTGTTGTGAGCATCGCCTATGGCCCCATGCGAACCCTGGCATGTGGGCCTGAGCTGGAGCTCCCGATGGGGCCACGGAGCGTGTGAGGGGTGTGTCGACATGAGGCACCGACGCCATGCGAACCCTGGCATGTGGGCCTGAGTTGGAGCTCCTTTGTAGAGCCACGAAACGTGTGAGGTGTGTGTGTGTGTGTATGTTTGTCTGCGGCCGAGCTGAGGCACCGAGGCCACGCGAACCCAAGAATTTGGGCCTTAGTTGGAGCTCCCCATGGGGCCACGGAGCGTGTGAGGGTTTTGTCGGTATGAAGCATCGACGCCATGCGAACCCTATCACTTGGGCCTTAGCTGGAGCTCCCTATGTGGCCACGAAATGTGTGAGGTGTGTTTGAGTGCGTGTGCCGAAGTGAAGCACCGACGCGATGCGTGACATGTGGGCCTGAGTTGGAGCTCCTTGTGGGGCCACGGAACTTGCAATGGGTGTGTCGACCTGAGATATTGGCGCCACGCGAACCCTAGCTTGTTAGCCTGAGCTGGAGCTCCATATGGGGCCACGAAGCGTGAGAGGGGTGTGCCAGAATGAAGCACCAGCGCCATGCGAACCCCGGCCTGTGGCCTTTAGCTGGAACTCGCGATGGGACCACGACGCGCGTGGAGACTGCCGAAACGAAGCACCGACGCCATGCGAATCCTGGTCTTTTGGCCTTTAGCTGGAGCTCCCTATGGGGCCACGACGCGTGTGAGGGATGTGCTCACATGAGGCACCGACGCCATGCGAACCCTTGCATGTGGGCCTGAGCTGGAAGTCTTTCTGGGGCCACTAAACGTGTGAGGGGTGTGTCGACATGAGACATCGACGCCATGCGAACCCCAGCATGTGGGCCTTAGCCGGAACTCCCTATGGGGCCACGAAGCGTGTGTGGGCTGTGCCGAGTCCGGAGGGCAAAAGCAATGGTGGGAGGATGGGGAGGAGGAGTGGGAAGGCGGAGGAAGGCGGTGGAAGGAGGAGACGCGGGGCGGTGTCCCTTCCAAACGAGAACCCAAAGCCACAGGACAATTGGGAAACAAAAGCGACGCATCAGGCGGGAGCGTCGTGGTGGTGGGGGTCCAGTCTGCGGACCTAAGGCGCGAACGCCATTGCTAAGGCAAACGCGAAGAGTCATCCAGCGGAAGCGTTGTTTTTCGTTGAGGAGGCAACTTTCCGCGGCAAGCACGATTAGTTTTGATTGAAAACGAAGAAGTATCGAGCGCGAGCGTCCTTGTTGTAATGGGGGCTGGTTTGCGGACCCAAGGCGTGAACGTCATGGCTGAACAAAAAGCAGGGAAGTATCGGGCGTGTGCGCCAGTTTGGTTGGAGGGCCTGTTTTCGATTGCGAGTAGGAGCACATGTCTTGAGTGAAAAGTCATGTTTCAACTGCAACGCTCCCGCTCGATGTTTCGTTTATTTTCCCAAATGAGGAAGTATTGAGCGGGAGTGTTGTTGTTGTTGTTGTTGGTGTTGGTGTTGGTGTTGTTGGTGTTGTTGGTCTTGTTGTTGTTGTTGTTGCTGAACATTAATTATTCTAAAGAATAATTATTGTTGGGACCCCTGGTGCGCGACCCCCTCGCCGCGCCTAGGCCGCAGCTACATTTTCATCATTTTCGTGAGGAAGCCTCAGGTAATACGATGTCATCAAGATCCGGTTGTTTTGTTCCCCCCCGCTGTCCCTTGCAAAAAACACTATAAAATGAAATTTCTTGTTCTAAAATAACCAAACTTCAAGAATCCCTTGCAAAAAATAAGGTAAAGTGGACATTCGCGCGCGCAAGACGAAATCCTTCCAAAACCTTAGTGTTCGTAACGATTTCAACATAAAAACATCAAAAAACCAATGGTTTTTTTTTAAAAAAAATGTCACAATTTCATCCCGCGCGCTCTTGCGGATTTGCAGGAAACCCAACTTTTTTAAACATTTCTGTCAAACGGGCTTTTGCGATCAACTTCTTCACGTGCTTCGAACTTCTCCAACAACGGTTGCGCACCTGCCAGGGCCATCATCCCTGTCAAATAATACCATGCGGGACACATTCGTTTTTTCTTTCCGTGCGCACGCCGAAATCTTCAAAAACCATTGGGTTTCGTAGGAATTTTAGCACCGCGCAACATAAAATCATTTTTCGCACCGTAGGCCCTTCAAATCGTCGTCGTCGTATACTAAGCTAGTTTCCACAAGATGTTACCACAAGAAGTCATTGAAACCATGCGCCAGTGTAGTAGCCACGGTCGTCCGCATGCCACGAAGTGAAGTGTCCGAACGTCATAGGGCGGGAAGCTGGGTGTGGGTGGTGGCGAAGAGTCGTTTGGAAATGTGGTAGAGCTTGAACCGGCCCCCCCACAAAGTGGGGGTATTGGCGGGCGTCGTATGAAAACCCTGGCACTGGTGAGAACACTGAGCGTTCGGGTAAAATGATTGTTGTTGTTGTTGTTGTTGTTGTTGTTGTTGTGGTGTGTGTGTGGTCGGGGGGCTGGTTTGGGCGCAACCCCGAGACGCGCGAGCGTGAGCTTTGTTGTCACAAGAACTGCGGCTGGCCTCGAGGCGAGACAGTACATGGCCAAAATATCAGAACCTTGTTTTTCACATTTGCGGGGTATGTTCATCCCCCCCCGACCCCGAAATCAATGTTGGTTTTAGGATGGGTGTTGATTTGGGGGTCTCCACTGCCGCACCCCCAATCTTAATGTTTGGTGGTCCAGGGGGGCATTCTGCGCCGCAAGGTCCAAGCGGATTGCCCACCTACGGTCACGTTGCGTGCGGCAAGAGGTGGGGATGTGCTGATCCGAAGGAGCCT